AAACCAAATCACCTGCAGCTGCAAAGTGTGCAACAAGAAGCTCTTCACAATCTCCCACTCGCCCTTGAGAAGGAACGCAAAAGCTGAAGGGACGAAATCCCTAATGAACACCTGATCATAGTTAAGAGGCATCTTATCATTTGGGTCGTTTGCCGCCAGTGTCCCGACTGGACTCCCGCTGTACGACACAGTCGCACTCCTCAGCAGCCTCCAAGCCTCCTTCTCTAACTCACATTCCTCCTGATTTAATCTTCCATTTTGAAAATTTCCAGAACTGGTCCTACCATGCTCCTCTTTCTTGTCTACACCATCATCGTTATCGATTTTTTCCGCCACCAGAGGCTTAACATTAAGGCCCTCCCGCACGTAAACTCTCTCGAAATTCGTGTTATCTGCTTTGCTATCTAACGAAGTCGAGAGATTTTTAGAAACCAAATTATGGGCTGTTTTGGTACAGTTACAGCACCAGGTGTTTGAGGAAATTCCTGACCGAGCCCGAGTCAAGGCGAATGCAGAATTCGGCTTCTGGGATCGGTTGCTAAGGAGTTTGCATCCGAAAATTCTAGGAGGATTGGATTGGAAATTAGATAAATAGTGGGGCCTAGATGAAAATTTGAAGGATTTGGACAGAGGGGCGCCTAAAAAAGGCGCGTTCTTGCAGGGGAACAAAATCCTACAACAGGGCTTCATGCTTATGAATTTGATTGTTCTCATTTCATTTACGAACACGAACCATCCAGAAAAGGACCCAGATAAACAAGAAACAAATAAGATATAGGAGGAAGAAAACACAGATAATGTTGTGCAGAATAAAGATATTTGTATTGTTAACAATAATAATTAGACCTGATTGTTATGGAGCAGAAATGCAGTTTTCCGCATATAAGGGGAATGGTGCGAAAACGGGGAGCGCGCAAGATTTGGCGGAGAAGATCGGCAATGTAAACTTAAAAATGGCGTGTGTTTGAGAGGCTTTACTAAAAGTGGGCAGTGGTTTTAATGGTTCAACTTTGCAGTTTTATATAGGCCAACGGCGGTGAGCGGTTAGAGACGACGGCGGACTTAAAGCAGTTT